TGTGGTTTTGATTTGTATTTCTCTGATGATTAGGGATGTTGAGCATTTTTTTCATACATTCATTGGCCATTTGAACGTCTTCTGATAAATGTCTGGTTAGATCTTTCGCCCATTTTTCAATTGGATTATTTATATTTTTGCTGTTGAGTTGTTTGAGCTCCTTGTATATTCTGGTTATTAATCCCTTGTCATATGAATAGTTCGCAGATATTTTCTCCCATTCAGTAGATTGCCTGTTTGTTTTGTTGATTGTTTCCTTTGCTACACAGAAGCTTTTGAGCCTATACTCCATTTGTCTTATTTTTGCTTTGTTTGCTTGTGCTTTTGAAGTCTTACACATGAAATCTTTGCCCAGCCCCAGACCAATGTCCTAAAACATTTCCCTAGTGTTTTCTTCTAGTAGTTTCGTAAGTTTAGGTCTTAGATTTGAGTCTTTAATCGTTTTTATTTTATTTTTGTGTATAGTGAGGGATAGGGATCTAGTTTCATTCTTCTGCAAATAGTGATCCAGTTTTCACATCACCATTTATTGAAAAGATTGTCCTTTTCCCATTGTATGTTCTGGGCAACTTCGTCAAAGATAAAATGGCTGTAAATGTATGGATTTATATGTGGATTCTCTATTCTGTTCCATTGGTTCATGTGTCTCTTTTCATGCCAGTACCATTCTGTTTAGTTACTATAGCTTTGTAATGAATTTTGAAGTCAGGTAGGATGATGCCGCCAGCTTTGTTCTTAAGTAGTATTGGCAGTTTAACAATATTAATTCTTCCAATCCATGACCATAGAATGTCTTTCCTTTACACTTCTTTCATTAGATTCTTGATTTTAGATCTTTCTTCTTCTCTAACATATGCATTCAAAAGCTAGAAATTTACCTCTAAGCACTGTTTTTGCTATATCCCACAAATTTTGGTGAGTTATGTTTTCATTTTCATTTAGTTCAAAATATTTTTAAATTTCTCTTGAAATTTCTTTTTGCTTGTGTGTCATTTAGAAGTTATGTGGTTTAATATCCAGGTTTTTGAGGTTTTCCAGATCTTTTTGTTCTGAATTTCTAGTTTAATTCTTCATGGTCTGAGAGAAGACACTAGATGATTCCTATTCTTTTACATTTGTCAAGGTATGTTTAATGGCCCAGAATACTGTCTATCTTGATGAATGTTCAATTCTTCTCAATTGAGAAGAATCTACAATTGTCGGGGAAAGAATGTGTAATCTGCAATTGTTAGGTGAAGTTGAGTCTACACACGTCAATTATTTCCACTTTATTGATAATGTTGTTGAAAAGTATGCCCTTGTAGGTGTCCTGCATGCTGGATCTGTGTACTTATCATAGAGAAGACTTTAAGTCTCCAAATATAATAATGGATCATTTATTTCTTCTTGCAGTTCTATCAGTTTTTGCCTCTTATAGTTTGATGCTCTATTGTTAGAGACATACACATTAAAATATCTATCTTCTTGGAGTATTTACTTCTTTGACCTCCTTTGCTGTATTCGATGCCCTTCTTTGTCTCTAATAACATTCCTGAGAATTTTTCTCTGTCTGAAATTAACATGGATATTCCTGCTTCCTTTTGACAAGTTTTTTGCATGGTATATCTTTCTCTATCTCTTTACTTGTTTTTTTTTTTTTTTACAATTATACACATTTCTTAATAGTTTTGAAATATACCATTGCATCACGCACATTAGGTGAGGTCCCCCCGAATACCCTCCCTTCTCCCATATCCATTCTCCCCCCCTTCTCTTCCCTTCTACTTAATGAACTATAGTTATGTTTTACCATTTGTATGATTGTGTAGGTGGTTATTTATTGATTTCATAGTAGTATTGAGTACATTGGATACTTTTTTTCCCATTCTTGGGATACTTTACTAAGAAGAATATGTTCCAGCTCCATCCAGGTAAACATAAAAGATGTGAAGTCTCCATCTTTTTTATGGCCACATAGTATTCCATGATGTACATATACCATAATTTGTTAATCCATTCATGAGTCGATGGGCACTTGGGCTATTTCCATGTCTTGGCTATCATGAATTGGACTGCACTAAACATTCTGGTGCAAATGTCTGTGTTGTAAAATGATGTTTGATCATCTGGGTATATACCTAGTAGAGGAATTTCAGGATCAATTGGTAGGTCTACTTTTAGTTCCTTGCATGTTCTCCAAACTTCTTTCCAAAAAGGCTGTATTAGGTTGTATTCCCACCAGCAGTGTAGAAGTGTTCCCTTCTCTCCACATCCACACCAACATCTGTAGTTTTGGGATTTTGTGATGTGGGCTAATCTTACTGGAGTTAGATGATATCTCAAAGTGGTTTTGATTTGCATTGCTCTGATATCTCTTTACTTGTTAATCAATATTTCTTTATATTTAAAGTGTGTTTCTTGTGCATGACATATAGTAGGGTCTTGTTTTTTGATTTACTTTGATAATCTGTCTTTTAATTGGCATATTTAGAGTACTGAGGTTTAAAATGATTATTAATACAATTGGATTAATATCTGTCTATTTGTTACATTTTCTATTTTTTGCCCTGGTTCTTTGTTCTTTTTTTGTCTTCCACACTGTTGTTTTCCTTTTGTAGTTTGAAACAGTTTATGAAGCCTTATAACTCTTGACACTATTACCCAGACAGCCCTAAACAGAGCAGTTCCTCCTACCACCACCCTAGACTTAGACCACTGGCCTTCTGTAACTTCTCTCTAACACCAAGTGGTTCTTAGTTCTTTGCTGCTCAGTTGGAAATAGAGTAAGTTAGCTGACTGGTCTGCAGGTAAAAAGGAAGTCAAGATTTTTTTTTGTTTATTTTTAATCAGACACAAAGTTAGGCTCTGATGGCTATTGTGGAAGTAAGATCTAGGCCCAGACCATCCATGCATGGTTATACTCCCTGAGAAGGGCTTAAGGGTAGATAGATAAAAATAGAGGGCAGGGCCTCATTCTGCTCTGGTCCCTGATGCAGACATTAAGCTCTCAGCTGTCTGCACACATCTCCCAAGGGGACCCACAGTTGATCTAGCGGTCAAATTTCCCTCGTTCCCATATCAACTGCATTTCCCATTCCTCCTCTAACTGGGCTGGATAGGCCCATCTATAACAGATATAAAGCAAATTCTCCCCTTTCTACATGAAGAAGGATGCTCATCCGGAGCTGTCCTGAGAAGCTGTCGCTATGCTTTCATGCTATGGCACTCCCTCCTGAAAATGGAAAGACCAGGGACTGTCCCCTTTGTCTTTGGGCTCCCCTACTGTGTAGGAGTTCAAACTTAACTCCCTGAAGTGACAGCCTTGGGACTTCAGTCCCGACAATTCTATCTGCCCAGTGCTCTAACCCAGTGAGGTAACAAAGTAGTGTTATCATCCTCCTTTTCAGAAGAGCTGGATGGCGTGCCCAAGACACCAGACAAGTGAGTGGCAGAGCTGAGACATGATGTGCCTCTTCTGAGTCTCACAGTCTCACAGTCTCCTGTCCCATACCACCCTAGACCTTGGGGAACTTTGTACTTAGCGTATTCTTCCAAAAAGTAGCAGAAACTTTGCCTTCCCAACTCCTACAGGCCTTACTGAGCTATATGAAACCCATTAAAAGACTTTTTTAAAGTTAAAAACTGTATTGGTATAAACCTGAGGGAAACTTAAATGACATTCTCAAAGGACTGGGAAATATGAGACAATGAGGATGTATCTGTCAGTGACAAAGGAGTTCTGTGAGGCTACTAGTGAGGCCTGGGAACAGCACTTCAGCAAGAACCATAACATTGCAAAGCGATGAAGTGCTGGCAAAGGCTTTCCCAAGTCATCTCCGGGACTGCACATGCAGAAGACAGGTGCACACAGGCCCAGGCGCAAGACAAAATCTTCGTGTCTATTTGTGTGGCAGGCAAAAGCTCTCACACAGATCTGCTCAGTTAATCTTCACAAAATTAGATGTAGGTAATATTTTCAAACTGCAAAACTAGGTTCAGACAGGTTTAAAAAACTCGCTCAAGGTCACAAAGCCAGAGAGAGGTGGAGTCCCACCCACCTTCCACCAGCATGCGCTCCCTGGATTGAACTGAACCAACCGAGAAGCGAGACTGTCACAAACAGGCTTGCCCTCGCGGTTCAGCGTTCATTTGCTCAGGGACACCCTTTCAGGGGGCGTGCCCTCCAACTCCTGGAGGTTCCGGGACAGGAGGAGGGGCTCCCTCACCAGGCAGCTCGCCCAGTCTCGGGGCAGTGAGAGGGAGGGAGCGCAGGCCCCAGGAGTGGGATGGAGACCAGCAGCCCACAGCCCCCGCCGCCCAGCCCCAACACGGGGCTGAGCCTGGACGCCCGGCTGGGCGTGGACACGCGCTTCTGGGCCAAGGTGCTTCTCACCACGGTCTACGGGCTCATCTTCGCTCTGGCTGCTGTGGGCAATGCGCTGTCCGTGCACGTGGTGCTGAAGGCGCGGCCAGGTCGCCCCGGACACCTGCGCTACCACGTGCTCAGCCTGGCACTCTCAGCCCTGCTGCTGCTGGTGATCGGCATGCCCATGGAGCTCTACAACTTTGTGTGGTTCCACTACCCCTGGGTCTTCGGCGACCTGGGCTGCCGCGGCTACTACTTCGTGCGCGAGCTGTGCGCCTACGCCACTGTGCTCAGCGTGGCCGGCCTGAGCGCAGAGCGCTGCTTGGCTGTGTGTCAGCCCCTGCGCGCCCGCCGCTTGCTCTCCCCGCGCCGGACCCGCCGCCTGCTGGCATTCATCTGGGCCGCCTCGCTCGGCCTCGCCCTGCCCATGGCTGTGATCATGGGGCAGAAGCACGAGCTGAAGACGCCAGGCGGCGAGCCGGAGCCCGCCTCCCGCGTGTGCACCGCGCTGGTGAGCCGCGCCGCGCTGCAGGTGTTAATCCAGGTAGGTACGAGGGGGGTGGGGGAGGAAGGGCGCCGCCCCTGCCCTGGGAGCAGACATTTCAGCTCTGATGCCCCCCGCCTCCCAGAAAGTTGGGTTCGTTCTCCCTTTTTACAAAAGACTTGAGGAGGAACTTGGCCAAGGTGAAGCATTGACAGAGGCGCTGTTTGAATTCACAACTAACTACAAAGCCTGTGTTCCTCCCACTGGAAGGTGCCCAAACGTTAATGAGTATAAAATTGCGGGAAGGGGGGCTGAAAAAAATACAGATTTCATGATACTGCCTGTCACAGTATCATGACACCTCTCTGGAGGTGGGGTGAGGATGGAGAAGGTGTCCTGGGCCTCTCTTCTGATCTCCTGATTAGGCTTCTAACCTCATTTCCTATTACACGCCATGAGACTTGCCTCCCCCAGGCCACTCGCTACCCTGTTTTCCCCCCTTCCCCACCCTCTGCCTAACCTCTGGCAAAACCCCCCCCCCAAAACCTCTTTCTTCTGCTCTCTCCCCTCCAACCCTTCTTAGCCCTCAAAATGCTGCTGTACTCTCATCGCCTCCCTAGCACCTTCTCTCGGCACCCCAGCTCCTGGCACGCTCTCCCATCTCTCCTGGACTCTTACAGCGTGTGATGTATTTGTGGCACTTTGTAAAGCATTTTCTGAAAGTGATAATTTTCAGAGTGTTTGTCTCAGGTTCTGTGTGTTGGTCACATAGGACTGTGATCCCACGTGTTCAGCACCTGGGGAGAGTGGGGAAGGGGAGGCAGCACAGCCCTCTCCAGGCCCTTCCTGGCTCTCCAGGAAACCTAAAGGAGCAAAGCGGGGCCAACCAGGACCCCTTCTCTGCCCACAAGCTGTGAAAGCACACGGAGGGCACTGTGCCAGCAGGTTGAGACATACGGGGGGGGCAGTGGCTGCATAGGGGACACACATGCCACCCTAAGTGGGGCTCCTCCTCTTCCGGATTCAAAGCTTCCTCTCAGCTGGAAGCCTGGCCTGCCCACAGGGTCGCAGGGCCCCTCACTCACTGTGTCTTGCTTGTCTTCCTGCTGGGCAGGTGTAGAGGACTGAAGGGCCTCACGGGAGGTGTTTCCTCGCCAACCTGTATTACAGTCAGGAGAAACTAGGAGAAATCCATGGACACAAGCAACATCTTAATGTTTTATGGGATTTCAGTGGAGCTACTTTGTCCCCATTCAATCCTAGCATTCCTGGATATGTGGGGGTTTCTCCTGGGGTAACCATGGTCAGGCTCCTCTCAGGTCTTGTACTCATGGCTCCTCTGCTTGTCCTGGGTCAACTAAGGCCACAGAGTCATCTTCAGAAGTGGATCTCTGTACAGTGCTTTCCAGGAAGTGGGGCCTTCTTTCTACTGAATGTGTCACCTCTTATTTCCTTAAATGATCTCTCCCAGCTCCCCCCTGGCAAGCTCAGCCAGAGCCCCTGGCCCATCACGTGGAATCACCATGAGCAACAGTCTGCTGTTACTTTCTTAGGGGCCTGAGTTTCCCTATAGTCACCAAGGAGCTGGCCTCAGGTCCCCCATGAGTGTGGGAGATCAAGGGCTGGGACATAAGGGGAGGGGTCATGGGGGTCAAATGCCTGGTGAAGGTTTATTAGTTTCTTTATCTAGAAAAGGAGATTGTCATTTGTTTTTCAAACTAAAGAATTTAGTCACTGTGGAGGTGATAAAAAGAGGCTGGAGAGGACTTTGGTCAGAGCTCCTCTTATTGCAAACGATAGGCACGCAACTGGAAATAGTGTCAACCAAAATGAAGATGTGAAGCCAGGATGTTGGGGCTGCCTGGGGATCTTGAGTCATGGGCTTAGGGTTCCCAGGAGTCTCTGTGTCTGTTGTTCATCTTTGACTCAAAAGGGGCATCCTGGTGTCCGTGGGTAGGGTGCAGACACCCAGGATTGTCCAGGGGGCAAGAAGGTGGCCAGTGGCATCCTGTGTGGTAATTAAAAGAGCTCGTGTGGAAGTGCCCGGGATGTGGGGAATGTGGCATGTCCTTGGTAAATGCTCACCTTCCTGCCTTATTTTTCCACCTGAGAGGACGCTACAGGTCCTCAAATGGCTTCACTCACTGGACAGCTTCTCTGTAAAGTCACAGTCCATAGTTTCAGCCTCAGAGGCCAGGGAGCCAGGTCAGGGGACCATGGGAAGGCCCTCAGGCAGCTGCGGCCCATTAGCTCACATCTATAAAATCAAGAAGAAAGATGGAAAGATGGTCTCTTCACAAGCTTCAGCTTCCAAACGTCCTGTGTTTTCAGAAAGCGTTCTGCCTTGTGCTAATATGGCTTCCATTTTTGGTTTGTAATTCAAACCAAAAGCCACCTTGGGGGGGTAGTGAAGTCATCATTATATCACATCCTGGACGTGATTTGCTGCCTATGTGCCAACTGGTGGTTGACAGGGACACAGAAGCTGCCAGTATTTTGATTATGGGTGATGGTCCCAAGTGAAGAAGAAAAAAACTGCTGGTCTGGGCTATTCCCAGAATTTGGAAGTCTAAATTGGATCCAGCAGTTGTAACATTCTGGTTCTGGAGCAAGACATTGTCCCAAAGCTGCTGACATATGGGTCACAGGTTATGTATTTGGAGAACTAATGATGTTACTGGGGGAACTTGCAGCTTAATGGGATGTTTGGACAGAAATATTAATAATAAAAAGGCCTGGACATTCAACATGAATGAAGCCATCAGAAGAAGTGCACAGGCCACCTGTAGCCTCGGGAAGAATTGGGGAGAAAACGTACAGTTGAACCCAGGAGACAGCATCTTGCTTATGTCAGACGTTGCTCATGATGGCCCCTGTAAAGATGATTACTCGGAACTAGCTAGGCAGAATCCCTAATTTTTAGAAGATCCACTTAGTATATCTGACATGTTTTCAGGTTTTCAAATTCTTTAACCAAATCCTTATCTAATGATAAAGGAGACAAAAAAAAACTAAAAATCAACCAGCAGCGGAGCGGTACCCAGGTGAATGGAACCGGGGGACTCAGGACAGCAGTGCTCCCACTAGTCGGGCAGACTAATCCTGACCTCTGCCTGAGCAGTGCAGTCCACACACTGCCTGTTCCAGCACTGGCCCAGGCACAGCACATCAAAGCCACAGAGCAGCAGGGATGCTCGTCTACCTCCCAGCAGCCGCATGTGGTTCTGGGCTACAGTGGGAGAGTCAGTGCACCGCAGCTCCCGCCGGCCCCTGGCGTGGCTGTGACAGTGAATCAGTCAGACAGCCATATGCCCAAAACGCCTGCAAGCCAAGTCCCACCACTTGTCACAGACTGGAGTAGTGACTGTCCGACTATTTTAGAGTCAGGCTTTGCAAAAAAAGCTCCAGGAGGGTTTACCTTGCAAATATGACACATGATTTCCTTGAGATGTTTAAACTGTTCAAGGCAATGAAGCTGGGAATTACAGCAGGGTGAGCTTTTGGCATTATAGTTAATGAAGTCTTTCAGTGTAACAGGTACTTGACAAATAGTTTGGTTTTTTTTAAACAGAGTCTCAAGCTGTCACCCTGGGTCATAGTGCCGTGGCATTGGCATCATAGCTCACAGCAGCCTCCAATTCTTGAGCTCAAGAGATCCTCTTGGCTCAGTTTTTCTATTTTTAGTAGAGACAGGGTCTTGCTTTTGCTCAGGCTGGTCTTGAACTCCTGCGCTCAAGCAATCCATTCACCTTGGCCTCCCAGAGTGCTCAGATTACCAGCGTGAGGCACCGCTCCCGGCCTTATTTGACAAATAGTATATACAATAATGTTTAACTTGAAACATAAAGCATATATTAATAAAATGACCAGACTCCAATCAGGATTGTTTGGGTCCTAATTTCTTTTTAATGACATAGTGAGTTGGTTCACCATTCATATTAATCAGTTTTTGGTCCAAGAAAATTGCTCATGGTTTTTGAAGTCTAAGAAACTGTGTACGGTTCTCACCGAGATTTCAAAACTCCCAAAGATTAATTCCTAATTTGTGAATATGTTTTTCTTTCCATCTGTCTTGACTGGTATTAAAGCTACGATTTGATAGTAATTAAGTATGTCGCTACTTTATAAACTTTCTTGATTCCTCAACAAACTGCAATGACTGTCCTAGGCAGCATGTCATCTGTCTTTTGGTGTTGCTGACCTGTGAGGACACGCGAAGTTAAAAAACATGAACGATCACTCCCTGAAGAGGGGAGCACCCAACTGAAATATTTAGTACTGATTTTAAAGTGGCATTAAAATATTGTTTTTTTTTAAATGTTTACACAGAGTAAGGAATAAGAGAGCCTTAAAACTGTTTGAGACAGAGTCTCACTATGTCACCCTGGGTAGAGTGCTGTGGCGTCACAGCTCACAGCAACCTCCAACTCTTGGGTTTAAGCAATTCTTTTGCCTCAGCCTCCCAAGTAGCTTGGACTACAGGCGCCCACCGCAACGCCCAGCTTGCTTTTTGGTAGTAGTTGCCATTGTTGTTTGGCAGGCCCAGGCTAGATTCAAACCTGCCAGTCCTGGTGAGTGCGGTAGCACCCTAGCTGCCGAGCTACAGGTGCCAAACCTATGTTTTGAATTTTTAATATAAAACATTTAGGCCAGGCACAGAAGCTCATGCCTATAATCTCAGCACTCTAGGAAGCCAAGCTGGGACATTCACTTGAGCCCAGGAGTTCAAGACTAGCCTGGGTAACATAGCAAACCTGCATCTCTACAAAAAATAAAAAAAAAAATTAACCAGGTGTAGTGGCACACAACTATAGTCCCAGCTCCTCAGGAGGCTGAGGTAGGAAGATTGCTCGAGCCCAGGAGTTCAAGGTTGCAGTAAGCTGTGATTGTGCCACTGCACTCCAGCCTGGGTGACAGAGCAAGACCCTGTCTCTTAAAAAATAAATAAATAAACAAACATTTAAAACACAGGGTATTATATAATAAACTCATTTTTCCTGAGTCAGGTAGTACCAAATAATAATAATACAAGGTTTGTAATGTAAAACAGCAACCCCACACCTGCCCCTTCATACTCTGATTCGCATTCCCTGGGTGGGAGACAAAGCCGCCCACTCTCAGCTCTTGCCCTCTTTCCCTACATAATCCTACCCTGGCTTTAGTTTCCAGTTTTACATCATGTCCACTATCTTCTACCGGTAGAAAATGAGCATTTCCCTCTATTCCTATCTCTGCCCCCTCATCCTTCAGGTTTAATTATATTTCTGTGTTGGTTAAATTTATGCTCAGTGTGTATGTGATTATGACTATGTAAAGAGACTTCACAGATGAGCCATGTTGTGTATTTTTATTGTGTTTTCTTTCCAATACGACTTTTGTTTTCATTGCACTTAATAATGCAGAATCTTCTTTTCATTTGCTTAGTTTTCTGCTCCTGACTTCTAATTCATCTCCCAACTTCTCTACCCAAAGTATAAATTCTGTCTCAGTATATTCAGATGCATCCAATAACCTACCCGTTCCATCTTTTGTTTTTCAATCCTCAGAGCCTCCAGCCTCCTGCTCCAACCCCACTGGCTGCTCTCCAGTGCACTGGGGACACCCTGGGAACTCTCCTCCATCTGCTCGGGGCCCCCTGGAAGCCCTGCCCTTGCTCCCCAGCTCTCCTGTTGGGTACCCTATTTTTGAATCCCAGGTTTTCCTCCCTATTGGCTCTGATGGAACATTTGTTCTCATAACCTCTTAAGACCTGAGAAAAGGTCCATAGAATGTAAAAAAATTGAAAATTTACATATGAAATTTTCTTTTATCCTCCTATTTGTGATGAAATGGCTGGATATAGGCTGGGCACGGTGGCTCACGCCTGTAATCTTAGCATTCTGGGAGGCCTAGGTGGGTGGATTGCCCGAGCTCAGGAGTTCACGACCAGCCTGAGCAAGAGCAAGACCTCATCCCTAAATAATAGCCGGGCATTGTGGCAGGTACTTGTGGTCCCAGCTACTTGGGAAGCTGAGGCAAGAGAATTGCATAAGCCCAACAGTTTGAGGTTGCTATGAGCTGTGACACGGCAGCACTCTACTGAAGGTGAGAAAGTGAGATTCTGTTTCAAAAAAAAAAAAATGGCTGTATATAAAATTCTAGGATGGAAGCCATTTCCCCCCACATGTCGTAAAGCATTGCTCATTATCTTCCAGCTTCCACCACTGTCATTAAGAAGTTCAGGTTTTCCATTATTTCTGTGTGATCTGTTTTATTTCTGTGGAAGCTGTCAAGATCTTCTCTTTATCCCCAGGGTATTAACTATCGTAAGAACGAGACTTGGGGGGGAGTCTATTTTCAGCCATTGCTCCCCGCACCCAAGGAGCCTTCAGATCTAGAAGCTCAGAACTCTCAATTTTGGGAACATTTTCTTGAATGTGTTTTAGGCTTTTTTCATAAAATTTTCTGGTTTTTATCCCCAATTTTCTTCACTCTTCTATTTTCTTCGCTTGCTTCCTACTTTCTGAGAATCTTCTCTCTTACCTTTAAGCCCTTCTGTTGCTCCCTCTGCTGGTGCCCAGGCCTGGGGCACAGCCTTTGGAGCTGCCCCACAGCCCTCGAATTACCTCCACAGGTGAATGTGCTGGTCTCCTTCGTGCTCCCCTTGGCACTAACCGCCTTCCTGAATGGGGTCACGGTGAGCCACCTGCTGGCCCTCTACTCCCAGGTGCCATCCGCCTCTGGCCCAGGCATCGCTGTCCCCAGCCACCTGGAGCTGCTGAGTGAGGAGGGTCTCATTGGCTTCATTGCGTGGAGGAAGACCCTGTCCCTGAGAGGCCAGGCCAGCCTGGTGAGACACAAGGACACAAGTCAGATCCGCAGTCTCCAGCGCAGCGTCCGGGTTCTCAGTTAAGTCCTCTCTGGCCTGGTGACCTCAGCAGGTCACCGCCTCCCTCTGTCTAGGCTTCCTGAATCCTGTGCCCCAGGGGAACTTCCTGTAGGGTGCGGTGGGCTAACCGAAGGAAGGAATGGGAGTTCTGTACATGGACCCCCAATCTGCCGCAGGAGGTAGCACAGATGAGCAGACACCTGGCCACTTTTCAGGAAGTCTGGCCGTGTGGATGAGCATAAGTTACTGTTGAGACTGCAGATGGAGACTGCGACTCTCAGGCTGGGTGGGTCTCCAAGTCCAGTTCTCTTCTGACTCTCCACTTTCGGCTATACCATTGATCTGTTTGTTTGCTTGTTTTTGAAAGTATCTGGGAAAGTGTGGCCTTGCGAGGGAAACGAAAAGGCAAGAAGAAAGCAGGGGTCTCTTCAAGCACCTCCTGCAGCCCAGGCATGTCACAGGGCCTGGGAGGAATGAGTATCAGACAGGTCTCTGCCCTCATCAGCATCACGTCCTGTGCATGGACAGAGATGTAGCAGTTAAGTGTGAAGTGCTGTGATGCGTTGACACAAAGTCAGCACACCAGGCACTGGACAGTGTGTGATCATCAAAGAGTCAGTGTCCAGAGATTTGCTTGGAGAGCTGTGGTACTCATAAGATCTTTGGAGAACGGGTTAAATAGTACTCCTCAAACTCCGATGCATGTAGAATGATCTGGAGCATCATGAAACACAGACTGCAGGGCACAATATTCTGCACTTCTCCCAGGCTCCTGCTGCACAAGGGTCACACTGGGCTAGAGGGTGCATTTGCCAGTTGGGAGAAAGCAGGAGTGGCAGAAAGAAGGGGCAGGAGGTTGGGGGCTTCTAGTCAGAGGCCAGTGGGAAAGAGGTAGGAGCCGCTTGCCTCTTAGGGCAGTGGCAGTGGGGACAAGAAGGAATGGAGAGACATAAGGAGGAGGTCTTTAATAGGTTGGATGCAGGGGAAACAGAGAAATATGACTCCTGGGCTCATGTTTGGCATGTCAGGGTGATGGTGCTGACATCAGGCAATCAGAAAAAGGACTGGGTGAGGGAGAGGCTTCCTGAGGCAGGAAAGACACAAGTTCTGTGTATGTGATTAGACAACGAGGTGGGAATACTCAGCCCTGAGTTGGGAGTATATTCTAATGGTGTGAGGTTAGACAACCAGGTGGGAATACCTAGCCCTGAGTTGGGAGTATATTCTAATGGTGTGTGGTTAGACACCCAGGTGGGAATACCTAGTGCTGAGTTGGGAGCATATTCTAACGGTGTGTGGTTAGACACCCAGGTGGGAATACCTAGCACTGAGTTCGGAGTATATTCTAATGGAATGTGGTTAGACACCCAGGTGGGAATACCTAGCACTGAGTTGGGAGTATATTCTAATGGCCAAGAGGAATCCTGTAAGCATGGCACATCCAGGTCATGGTCAAAGCAGACAGTCACCCAGACAACAGGACAAAGCAAGGTTGTGAACAGATTCAGACAGGGGTGCACAAATGACCTCAAAGCCCCTTTCCGACCTTTGACTCTAGGAACAAGTCACAGGGAAATGCTGTTGTCACCTCGGCACCCTCCTCACTCAGAGATGGCATACCCGAGGATGTGTTTGATCTCTGTGGCTGTCTCTCCAATTGTTCTTCAGGGGCCATCGTGGCTGTGTACATCATCTGCTGGCTGCCGTACCATGTCCGCAGGCTCATGTACTGCTACGTCCCCGATGACCAGTGGACGGAGTGAGTGTGGCACACACAGAGGACCCCCGGGGCTGGGCCTGTGGTCTCCTTTGCTCTTCAGGGGGACCCTCAGCTGTTGGATCCCAGGGAACTCCAGGCTGTATTCCAGCTGCCCCGCCCTGTCTGCGACCTCAGAATTTCCCAGCAGGGGCTTCTCTGGGAACAAGGGATCCTCTGGCCACATGGGTGGTAGTCAGGACCAAGGGCATCCTGATGTCAGCTGGAGAAAAGGCCATGGAGGCGTGCAGGCCATGCTGTTACAGAGAGTGAGGGAGGAAGGCTCAGAGCTGTGACCCCATGACCTGACAGAGGCCCCTGTGACAGAGGCCAGTATGTGCACCCCCTTTAATGACATAGGGAGAGAAGGGGAGAGAATCTATTACCTTCCCCATGGAAATCACCAGGCCCCTAATCTCCACGGGAGTCAAACACCCAAGAGAATGGAGAGCCCATTAAATGGCCTCCGAGGAAATAGCCATGTGGACAGACACCTCCTGCTTGGGAGCTGTGACCAGCCCCATGCAGCTCAAGCACATGTCAGGCCCCTCCCCTACAGAGGGCTCTGTGACGAGGAGCATGGCCTCTCAGGAGAACTTGCTCCTCTGAGTGCAGACACGTCTCCCTGACCACACAGGCAGCTCAGGGCTCCTGAATCTTAGTAGCCTGGGTGAACGGCCCCCGTTAAAGGTCTGGGTGGATGGCCCCCGTTAAAGGTCATGTCACCTTTACTGTGCAAGTGACCGGGAAGCACAGCCAAGGATGGCAGATCATGGAGGCCGAGTGGAGGGTTCAGCCCAGGGCAGCTGGCAGTGGCACAGCATTGTCGAATTCACACTGTGCTTCCTGACAACAAAAAACAGGCTTCTCCCCTGCCCATCAGAGGAGAGAGGCATCTCCAGCAGAAAGGGGACACCAGGGAGGTGGCCGGTCCTCTAACCAGGCCTTCTGGGTTTCTCTTGCAGCACGCTCTACGATTTCTATCACTACTTCTACATGGTGACCAACACACTTTTCTACATTAGCTCAGCTGTGACACCTGTCCTCTACAACACCTCGTCCTCCTCCTTCAGAAGACTCTTCCTGGAATCCCTTGACTCCCTGTGTCGAGGGCACCGCCCCGTAAAGCCATTGCCCACAGAAGCCCCAGAGTCCTGTACTGATGGGTACAGTTTTAGGCTTTGGGGAAACCCCAGAAAGCCTGGCCTGGCTGAAATACAAGAATGAGGGAATACTCAGGGTGACTTTCTGTTCAGTCACCCAGCAGTGGTAATGATCAGCGACATTATCACTAATCACTCAAGCACTGTGGTCAGGTGCGTGCTGTCACCCAGCTCTGCCGCTTACTCGCCTGTTAACTGCAGGCAAGTCATATAATCCTCTCAGCCTTGGATTCCTTCACCTGTATAGCAGAGATAAAGAGCGGTAGCCGTATCTTAGTGTTGCCTGAGATTAATGTGCTTAGCACGGAGCCTGGTGCATAATAAATGCTCAATACCTCTTTGCTGGCATTATTTTTGTGGTCATTGTTGTTGCATTATTATTATCACTGCTGTCCTGGAAGTCACCACATTCTTCTAGAGTTTCATTCTTGGACAACCTATGAATTTCCTCCAATGACTCAGACTCCTACAAATCTCCTCAGATGGCAAATCACCTGCCCCAGAAGTTGACCCCATTGCTGCATCGCATGAGCTGGTCCCTCCCAGGAAGGAGCAGCTGTTCACACAGTGTTCACCATCAGTAGCTCCTGTGGGCTCTGGAAACTGTAGGCTACCAGCTTCCCCATCCTGCCTCTGTCGTGTGATGCCTAACCAATGGTGGCCAGCCTGGCCTGCATGGCCGATGAGGAAACAGCAGTGTGCTGGGTGCTACAGAGCAGGTAACCCATGGTGGTGGCTGATGGGGACACAGTGGTATGCTCTGTGCCACAGAGCAGGCAGGGCCCAGACATACTCTGGCTGGGACAGCTGGACGAGCTGAACCTCAGTTCTTGCTGTCAGGGAAGGCTCTGCCTGCTTCACCGAAGGCCTCAGGCCCAAGCTGCCCACACAGGGCCAGGCCCCACTCACATTGTCAGCACTGTGCCTGGAGACCATGGTGCCAGAGCTGAGAGAGACTAGTGCTGCTGGGTCCTGAGCATGGAGGACACAGTGTGGAAGGTGGGTGAGTAAGGTGAGGCACAGGCCGATAAGGCTCAGGTCTGGGGGGCGGGAAGGAGGGCACAGCATGGGGACCAGGAAGAGGCTCACTCTGACAAACTGTGTCAATGCTTCCTGGACTCTGCCCGCCTCCGGGGCCCACCACTCACCCTCCCCACTGCGGTGAGGAGCGCTGTACATACTCACGCCACAGGACATAGGTGCACACTTACTGGAGGGTGTCTGCCCCCTCACATTCTAGCAAAAGTGTCACATAGCTCTGCCAAGTCGAAAAGAGCAAGCAGCCCACAGTGCAGACGCTCAGGAAGATGCACCCACAGGGCGGGCTGGCTCTGAGCAGCCCTGGGCTTCGTCACTCAACATTAGGCTCCCCAGGGCATCTCCTCATCTGGAAACTGGTGGAGGCAAAAAGCTCTCAAATCATTTAAAAATTAAAAAAATAATTCCAGTCAGCAAAAGTAGACTTGCATTTGAAGCAATTTACAATCTTTATTCATCCCTCTTCGTGTAAATGGACCCGGGCTTGGTTATGAAGATTCTCCCCAAACCTGCTGAGGGTTATGGAAGGTGTGGAGTATGCCTTATATTACTTTTCTAGAGTGTGGAAAGCCCTGAATTGAAAACTATGACTGGTCCCAAGAGTTTTGGATAAAGGACTGTCAATCTGCATTAACTAATGATAAGTTTACAATGATTAAATGAAAGAAAGAATGCAACCTCCTGACCACGGTGCCTGATACATAGTAAATGCTCAAAAAACACTAGTTGTCATTATTGTCATCATCATCCTGGACCCCAAACTGGACAAAATGTTCCTCACAGGAGCTGCGTGAGTGAAGCACACCCTCTCTGCTGCATGTCACCCAAGCACAGTGAAAAACAATAAAACCGAAACTTAAAGAATAACAGCCTGCCAGCCTGACAGATACACTACTTACATAGTATCCAAACATTTCCTGCAAACCATAAAGCAAAATACCAGGACCCAGAAGGCCAAGAAAGACACAAGAGGAAACAGGATCAGCCTCGGTGGTTCCTAAGGAAATGGCACTTCAAACAGTGATGCAACATTTTATGACCAATATGTCAACATAAAGTGTCAAGACCAGAACAAACATTGCTGCGTAACTGTGACATCCATGCACTCCTGCCTTGGAGAGGAAACTGAATAAGCCTCCTGGAAAGCCAATGGGTAATATGCTGTTTTGAAAGCCATAAAATGCTCAGAAACTCAGATCCTGTAACTCAACCTCTGGAATTTTACTGAAAGGTAATTTACTAAGGAAGAAGAGGCCTCTCTCTGGTGCACAGGGGTTTATGGGTTTATCAAGTTTATCTGCAGTATTCTTCATCCGGGCATTTACAAGCAGGCACTGGACGTAGGACTTAAATACGAACCCTGCCTAATCCTCACGGTAGCCCCCAACTGTAAATACTATTGTTACCATCATCTTTTACACATGGGGTCATGACACAAAGAGAAGGTAAGTAAGGTTTTTATCCCACTGCTTAGAAACCCAGGGATTGGAACCCAGGACTTGGAAGCCTATGTTCGAACCCGCTGCCCGAGAGCTTAATGGCAAAAGGTGAGAGATTGAAGGATCGACATCAGGAACTGGGCAAGTCATACATTTGATCAAACAAATCCCATCTGTTAGGCTGCCCTTAACAAATACAAAGTGTGCGGGAACCTTAGTTAGCAACATAAACATACTGTGATGATACCATTAACTAGAAAACGGAAGACAAAAATCACATTATGATATCACGTGCAAATCACACAGATATGGGGAAAGGTCAGAAGGAAGAGCTTGAAAATGAAAATGGGTCTGCTGAGCAGGCCCGCGTGACCCCAGTGCAGGGCGGTCCTTGTCACTTCACTATTGAGCGCAGTGATGCTCAGAAAAGCAGCAGACGGGGGTGGCACCTGTGGCTCAAGGAGTAGGGCACCAGCCCCATATACTGGAGGTGGTGGGCTCAAAACCCGGCCCTGGCCAAAAACTGCAAAAAAGAAAAAAAGGCAGCAGACACTCAGAAACTCTCGGAGAAAGAAGTAACATATAACCAGTTTTCCTTAATTAGTTGATATTATCTAGTTTGTTTAATCTTGAGGTAAGTGATAGAAGTTCAGCTCCCCTTGCTGCAGTTCCCAGGACAGGAGACAGCCTCTGCCACTTATTAGCGGGGTGATTTCAGCAGTCCCTTCACTCACTTGGGCCCCAGTTCCACATCTGTGACACAGACATCATGACAACTACCCCTGAGTTTTAAGAATTAAATGACATCATGAATATGACAAAATGCTTAGTGTTCTACCTAGGACCCCAAAGTCCAGAAATGTGGAAGACATTTGTGACTGCCAGGGCTCCCAGATGTGGGGAGGAGGCCTGGGAGGGCGGGGGTGTGGTTACAATGTGTGGCGAGAGGGAGCCTTGCAGCAATGGGATTGTACTGTATCTCACTCTTATCAACGTCAGAATGCTAATAAAGCTACACAGAATTTTTTTGTATTCTTTTTTACAACTGCGTGTGAATCTATAATTATCTATAATTATCTCAAAAACTTTCTGAAGGAAGGAAGTGAGTACTCACAGTCCCAGTACACAGATAATCATCACTTTAGTTTTGGTGTACACCTCTGGGAAAAAAATTTTAATAGTAGCTGTCATTATCCAAAGGGGATGCTCCAGGCTCCTGAGTGAGTACAGGTTATCTTTATCGTTCTACATTTAAAGATGTGAAGCCATGTATTTCTTTGTGTGCTTGGTTACTTCGACTGCACGTGTGCTGCCTACTCGCTCACGAAGATCCAGAGAGAGACCCCCAGAGCCCAGTCTCCAAGCTCTGAGCGCACCAGTATCTGCACCCTTGGAGGCTGTGGCTAAACTCTGAATGATGAAACAGGCATTGCCTATCCCTAACACAGTGACACCACTGTGCGGCTTAAAACTACAGAAATTTACTCTCTCACCAGTCTGGGAGCTACAAATCTGAGATCAAGGTGCAGGCAGGGCCCTGCTCTCTAAGACTCTAGGGGAGGGTCCCTCCTTGCTTCTCCCAGCTTCGAATGGTTCTCTCAGTAACCTCATCTTAATGTAGCTAATTACATCCATAAGGACTCCATTTATAAATAAGCTCCCATTCTGTGGTACTGAAGCTTAGGATTTCAACATATTTTTTTTTCAGGACATAGTTCACCCCCTAACACCACCCAAACTCCCCATTCTTAGCGGGCTGGATCACCACTCCTGGGAAAGACCCTTTGATAGAGTGAGAAGTAGAGTTAGATTGGCCTCAAATCCCAAACAAGCACAACAAGCGCTTGCCAACGTTTTAGAAAGGAGAGGAAAAACTGGGCCAGTATATTCTGCGAATGACAAAGGCAGTCAGAATTCTTGTTTCTCCTCTAGACATGAAGGCCTTTAAAATTTTGTACTGGCCTTTCCAACTGTTTTGTTCATGAAAATGCTAATTGCCTCTGAGCTGGAGGCCTGCCTAAGCAAGGAGGCTAAAACAGAAATGAAAGCCGCCCCCACTGGATGCGCCCTTGGTTCATGGTCTTTCCTTAAACAAAACTGTCTGTAAACTCTGAAGCTAGACCTAGGAGGTTTAATACAAATTTGTTTATTAAAAGTGACTTCTAAACCTTAATACTGGATTGCTCAGACTCAAGATGGGGTGTGAGAAGATTATATCTAGGAGCAACAATTGGGTTTCCCAGTGAGCAAATAGGTTTCTCAACTTCACTAGAAAGGCAGCAGTGCCTCCAAGCCATAGTCTGACATAGCAGAGAGCAAGCACCATGGAATCTGCCCTAGAGAAGGGAAACAGAGCACCATTCCCCCTTTTTTGTAATTTTGTTTTTTATATTAAATTATAGCTGTATACGTTAATGTAATCATAGGGTACAATGTGCTGGTTTTATATACAATTTGAAATATTTTTATCAAACTAGTGAACATAGCCTTCACAGCGTTTTCTTAGTTATTGTTTAGACATTTACATTCTACATCTAGTAAATTTCACATGTACCCTTGTAAGACACTGCTGGTGGGAAGGCAAGCTAATACATTCCTTTTGGAAAAATGTTTGGAGAACACTTAGAGATCTA